TTCCTTGGAATATTGTCTTCCACCTTTCTAATAGTCTTCCACCTGTAATCAGAATAATCAGAATGGCCGGATCCTGGCCATGTCTTTACATCTTCTGCTCATCTGTCTGAATGCCTCGAAAGTGATTAATGCTGAGTGATGATTTGTATAGCTTAAAGGCAATTTTCTTTTGTATCACGAGTTGTTTGAGATCCTTCAAAAACCACTTAGGAAAAGCTGCATTATCTCTTTTCACTGGGGTGTTAGCACTGACATCAAATGCAGGTACCACAGCTGATGAGGGATCCAACACGGGAAGTTTGCAGTCTGTGGAAAACACCATCAATTTTACATTTACGGTAATCACAGGGAAATCTAACTTTTTTGGGTAGAGTAGTAAATAGTAGATAAATAGGGATGGTGTTTGTCTTCAAGTAACAATGCCTCCTCCGCTGCCACAACTTCACTGAATGAGATGGAAGTCAATACTAGGTCAAGTATATCCCCCGATTGTTAGTAACAGAGTTAATTTGCTTGAGAGAATGTAGGGTAGCCATACTGGTTAAGGAGCTAGATTATTCGGGTCAGTAGCATTTACAGCTTCAGGAAGGTTCAAGTCACACAACAAAATAATTTTTTTCTGGATTCCAGAGCAAATGATAGCCTCGTCTACAACATTGCAGAAGTCGGAGTAGACAGATGTTATAATGACAGTTTATTAGATTAAAGCTCTATAAAACAAGATCATCCTTGATATAGGAGCATCAAATATAGTTAATTACCAACGTTGATTTGCTTAGAATTTACTAGTCAATTAGACTGGAACTTTGGAATGTACTCAATTTTTCTGGCCAAATATAAAACACTCAAATTGTCTCAAAGGGCATCAAGTAAACTTGAGATATTACGAGATACTAGACGAAAAATTGGAATCTTTGACCCCAATGGTACAACTGTGTGCTATATTTTGTGGTAATATTGGTCTGAGTGAATTCATGAAGAGGTGACCTCTCAAAAATGAGTCGGTGCAGAGGTGATTTTTAAATCTTTATCTGTTGGGAAAGAAGTTTTTATAAGATAATTTGAAACAAATTTTTGGGAGTCAGACCCCCCATGCTCGATAGCTCAACTAGTTGAATAAATAATGTCTATGAATAAATTAGAAGGGAATAAGCTATTACCGTAGGTCTCATGGTAAGACCTGGACCCGGCACCGATTTACTTTTTCGTTTTGATGTCACCAGAGGCCAAAAACAACTTTAGTTCAAATTTATATACAGGGTTAGGCAAAATTCTGGAACCCCCCAGGTAACTTTTTAACGCGTTGCAGTAGGAAAACCAAACTCTGCACATATTTACAACATTAGAAATTGCTCTTTTTTGTCAATGTTACAACTTTGCCCCAGCCCCATGGGGTATTTTGGGGACAGCCCCTAGTTTTCAAATGTAAACACCTATCATGTGAGTTCAATATCGCACCCCTAATCAAAATGGCAGCCATTTTAATTATTTAAGATGAGCAAGCAAGATAAAGTCTGGACACCCCCAAGTTAACTTAAAAAATTTAGTATTTTAATACTGACCAAAAGGTGAATTCTCTTTTTTTTTATAAAGGTATGCTGAGTCTAGTTTTCCTGCTATAACCTGTTAAAAAGTTAATAGGGGATATTTAAAATGACTGCCATTTTGATTAGGGGTGCGATATTGACCTCTAGTTTGCGCCATTTAATTTGTCTTGAGAAACCCTTTAAAATGAGGGGTCTCATGATAGGTATTTACGTTTGAAAATTTGGGGCTGCCCCCAAAATACCCCATTTTGGGGGCCGGGTACAAGTTCTAAATTTAACGAAAAAGTGCATTTTTTATGTTATAAAAATATGTGCCAAGTTTGGTTTTCCCACTGCCACATGTTATAAAGTTAACTTGGGGTGTCTAGACTTTATCTTGCTAGCTCATCTTAAATTAAAATGGCTGCCATTTTGATTAAGGGTGCAATATTGACCTCTGGTTTGCGTCATTCAATTTCTCTTGATAAACCCTTTACAATGAGGGGTCACATGATAGGTGTTTACATTTGAAAATTTGGGGCTGCCCCCAAAATACCTCATTTTGGGGGCTGGGGTAAAATTGTAACTTTGATGAAAAAGTGCAATTTCTAATGTTATAAATATGTGCCGAGTTTGGTCTTCCTACTGCAACACGTTAAAAAGTTAACTGGGGGGTTCCAGACTTTTGCCTAACCTTGTATTCATATACAGGGTGTTCAAAAAAGGTGGGGACATATTTTACCTAGTGATTCCTTGGGTCAAAATAAAGAGAAAATCAAGAATAACATTTTTTCCAAAATCGCTTCGTTTACCAGATATCCGCCATTTTGTATTTTTTACATACATTTTTATCTTTTAATATTTTCAACCGATCTTTATGAAACTTAGTATGTATGTCAAAATAGAAGATACCCGTGTTAAAAAAAAAAACTCATCTTGATTCAACCTAAAATTTCAATATGGCAGCCATTTTAATTCTTTAAGCTTAAATTACTCAAAAACGGCTAATTTTATAGAAAAATGCCTAGAACACTTTTATTTAGAATTTTTTATTCCCTATCAAACGATACCAAGTTCAAAAAGATTGAATAAGAAATAGCTGAAATATTACAATTTTTAGTTGTAAAATTGGGTAGAATAAGGCAGAAGATAGTCAGGTTTGCCCCATTCAATCAAGATGTAATCAAGATGATTTTTTTCTAACATGGTTCTCTTCTACCTTAACATACATACCAAGTTTCATAAAGATCGGTCTAAACAATCCAAAGATAAAAATGTATATGTAAAAAATACAAAATGGCGGATATCTGGCTAACAAAGTGATTTCGGAAAGAATGTTATTCTTGATTTTCTCTTTAAACTCAAGGAATCATTACATTAATTATGTCCCCACCTTTTTTGATCACCCTGTATATATATGTCCGTTAGCACGATAACTCGAGCAAAAATTATCCGATTTCTATGAAGTTTGGTACAAACGTGTAAACCTACATTTATTCAAATGAGTTCGCGAACCAGTATGATCGGACCATGGGAACGAGGTTTTGTGGGGGGTTTTATGGGGTAAAGATTGGTTTTTCTCGTTTTTGACCCTCAAAACATAAAATTTCCCAATTTCTCTCAAGACCATTTTGAAGAGCTTAAAAAAAACAAATAATTTAGTATATTGAAGTGTTTTTGTATGGTTATTAGTTACAGATAAAATTGTAAATTTAAAATTCCCATGTTATTCTTATGGAAAATAAGTCAACTGTTGAAGTTTGCTTGTTTATGGATATATTTTTGGCAAATCTATTTATTTTATATTAAGCTATTAATGTTTTACAAAAAAAAAAACACACTTTATTACCAAAGGCATCCCACAGTATCCCTAAAGGCAGAAAACCAAGGTACTCGTTAAACCTAATGTTATTGAAATAGATTTAATTGAAAATCAAATCAGGCAAATGGAAATTCGCTTAGTCTGCAGGTTTGCTGCAGCGTGGTATTTTTAGATCTTTTGATTCAACTTTTTAATTAAATCCTCCACTCTTTCTGCAAGTTCCTCAAAATCATTGTAGTCAAACTATTAATGGAAATGAATTTAAATGTTACTTGCCCCTTTCAAACTATAACCCAAGTGGATACAATCATCATTTTCCAAAATGTATTAAAAACTAAATAACTTTTTGATCAGCATTGTGCGTGTTATTAAATTACCTGAAAATACAAAAAAATACATTTAATAACACTTGTAATAATACACTTTTTACACTTATACTGTTGACTCACAAAACAGTAAATAAATACATATACCTTAAAGATGTATTTACCGTCTTGTGAGTCAACAATATAAGTGTAAATATAATATTCCTTGTATTATAAAAAAACTGTAATATGTATCCCTTTATAACACAAGGTCTAATGGAGAATTGCATTAATTGTTTGGTTTAGAAGGAAACATTATACTATTCATTACAACAATACCTTCTGCAATTTCATTTGTCGGGAGTTGTGACTCATTTTATCCTCACCCGGCATTATCAGGCATTCCAGCACTGGTGTTCTGTTCAACAAACAAAAATGTAAAATATACAACACGTTTTTAAATAGAAAAAATATGCATTAAAAATGGACAGGTAATTTAAGTTGAATTTAATATTTTTTTCCTTTTATACAGGCTGGAAAAAAAGTCCCGGAACAGTTAAAATATTTCAAAAGTAATAAATATAGAGCTTCAAAACTTGGTACAGGGGATGGCCCGCTAGGAGTCAGAAGAAAATCTTAAATGGAAGCATAGGTTGATATGCACATCAAATTAATAAAGGCCTTTACTAGTAAAATACAATGCCGCAAATTTGAACTCAAACGGACAACCGAGTCAAAAATGGCAGCTGTTCAAAGATTTCTGAAATCTGCTGTTTTCAATCTTTGAACAGCTGCCATTTTTTTACTCAGTCATTACTTGAGCTCAAATTTGCGGCATTGTATTCTACTAATAAAGCCCTTTAATTTGATCTACATATCAACCTATGCATACCTTTTTGATTTTCTTCCGACTTCTAAAGGTTTGGGTAGGCCTATATCAATATCATTATATTTTTCTTTCAAGAAAGCTTTGTTTACTAATGGAATTTAAATCTATTGTGACTACTGATTATATAGAAAAAATATGATTTTATTGTTGAATTTAGCATAACATTTAACATTATTTAATTATTTAGACAGGAAATTTTGGCAAAACCTGTTTTAGTAGAAGTGTTGTAACGAGCTGTTTATATGCTTTAGTTGATGTTTAGACTTGCTAAGTCATCAATTACCGTAAGAATTATATTCTTACATCATGTTAGAGGAAGGGTTATTTCATCAATAAATGGAGGAAACCAGTTGCAATCCTTATACCAATCTCAATGTGTACTAAACCTATATAAAGACATGTTTTAGTACTTACGACAGTTCACCTGTGGTACTTAGTCAGTTTTGATTTGTTTACAGGTCTTCCGAGCAGTGTCGTGCCTGATACTCTAAACAGGCATGCACTGCAAGGCACCTTGCCTACAGAACCCAGCAACTACGTGGTACCCACTATGGGGTTACCCATACTGCCTTCACTGCCTCCACAGCTTCCTCTAATACCTGTAAGTACCACTGTTCAACTCCACATCAGCAAACCTGCAGACTAAGCAAATTTCCATTTGCCAGATTGGCTTTTACTAGGATATTTCCTTAAACTTTTAAGATGTATTCCTATTTAAAAAAAAAAAAACATTAGTTTTACTAGTAATAAGGTTTGCTGCTAAAATAAAACACCGGACTAAGGACAAGACTAAACACAAGTTTCACAATGTTTTGGGATCTTAAACCCAGGTAGTCAATGAAACTTGATCATGTAGCTCTTAAGCTTTGAGGTTGTGATCTTTTGTTTTAAGTGAACAGTGTTGATTGCCTATTTAGTTTTCAGCTTTTTTCTTCTTTTAACTTTTTGAAATTTTATTATCGTAAACGTTTGTTGTTTCCAGCTACTGTGTTTCCCAGTGCTGCTCAGTTTGTGTACTAATTTTGTCATGTTCAAGGTTCCTAATCACATGGTTAAGATTATGATCCAGATCAATTCAATTCAATTCAATTCAAACTTCTTAATTCATTATTTTGTACAATATATACATTGAAACATTCAAAACATCCCAAAACATCCCAAAACATTCAGTTGAATAGTACACAACAACTGTTTATGTTTAGTAATAACCAGTGTTTGTTTGGTAGTTGAATAGTATTCCCTGTAGATGCATAGCTGTTATGCATCCGAAACATCAGCATCTAGTTTAACTTATTCAATGATTTGGTCATCACTCGAAGACCTAGATTTGACAATCTACTTGAGACTTATGACTTATGAAGACTATCATCTAGATTCAGATCCTAAAACATTGTGAAACATGTGTTTTACTAACCAGTAATCAGTGATGGAAAATATCCACAGTAATCCTTTAAATAATGTAAAATTAAATTACCATCACAAATGATAAATATTTTTATTTGTTGTTTCCTTTTTGACATATTGGGAACGGTTGTAAAAATCATGTACCGGGTAATCTGTTTGTTGTGGAGAGAATTGCATATAAATATTTAATTATCTAATGTTAAAATAGTTTACCTAGTTATAGTTTTAGCCTTTTCAGTTCAGTTCTTACAATTGAAAAGATTCACTTTACAGCATTGTTTACTTACTCTACAGCATTGTTTTTTTTTGTTTTTTTTGTACTTACAACACCAGTAGGATTGAGAGAAAAGGATTAAAATTGTAATGGTTTGATTAAAATTGTAATGCTTTGTGCGTCAACTTATCAACTGTTAAGACCAATTTAATTGTTAATGAGTGGTTGGTACAATGAGTTGTTGGAGTTGTTGCATCTCTATCAGTGGCAATGAGAGGTTATAAAAAAAAAAATAACCTCTCTTAGAAGTTATGAGTAGTGATTTGTTAGTGCTGTAATATAAAAACGGTCGTAGGTCAAGTAGTGTACGCAACTCGCGTAAATAGTCTTTACGACACTTGCAGAAGTTTTTGTGGCACTCACCTAGGCTCGTGTCGTAGGCTCGTGTCGTAGGCTCGACTATCTTTACGTGATCGTTGCGTAAACTACTATTGAAATACATTTAGTGAAGAACTATTTATTTGACAAATATACAGTACAGTAGAACCACGGTTAACCAAAATAAAGAGGGGGGGAGCTGTTTCGGATAACCAATTTTTCGGTTAACCCGTCATATGCTAAATATAGTCTACGTATTACCATGGTGAGTTCGTAAAATGAATTTAAAACAATAACTATATAATACAGTGTTTCATTTCAGCTACAAAAATGTTACAATGGGTTAGAAAAGCCCCTTTCTAGTGAGAGGGCCTCGGCACTATGCCTCGCTGTTTACATATTACGTATTGTACTTATATTTTAGCCATGTATTAATTTGTGGAACTGTTTCGGTTAACCAGGGTTCTACTGTACTATTTAACAGTAGATATGTTATAGAGTAATGATTAATTGTGTTGTTTACAGCAATCGATGCAGCCTTTCCAATTCCTAGCATCAGGATCCCAGCAGCTTCTGCCACACACACAGCAGGTTCTAGTGCCACACACAGGACGACTGATGCCTCAGATTCCTACCATTGTCACCTCTCAGTATGAGCTAGAGAGTAAGTAGCAGCATCAGAGATTTGGGAATTGTGTCTGCTGCTTATTTTAATGACCAAGTTTTATCCTGTAAGAATTATCTATTAAGTGGAAGGTAGTTTGCATCTCTGTCTGCTGAGTGCTGGATGTATCATAATTTAATTTACTGACTAGGTTGTATTGGAATATATCGGGTTTATACTATTTTGAACTATACAGGGTGGCTGAAAAGTAACTTACAACCCCCCCCCCCTTAACTTTTCAACCATTTGAGATATTTGAAATCTGTTTGCGGCAACCTTCTTAGGTATGACGGGCTACAATAATTATGGTCAATTTTGAAAATTTTGCCCTTCGGGGTAGCGGTGGTAGGGAATAGATCAAAATCTTCAAATGACTAATATAGTCAAGTTTGGTATCATTTTACAGGTCGTGACGAATAAAGAAAACCAAAATCGGCTTACTAATAACAAAATGGGGCCTTAAAATGTTTCAAATCCAAAAAACCATGAGGGTAGCTGAATATTAACTTGCACTACCTTTAACTTTTTAACTATTTGAGATATTTGAAATCGGTTTGAGGCAACTTGTTTGTATATAAGGGGCCACAATAATTATGGTCAGTTTTGAAAATTTTGCCCTTACGGATAGCGGGTAGCTCAAAATGTCTTAATAGCAAGTATAGTCGAGTTTGGTACCATTTTACAGGTCTTAACGAAACATAACAATTATTATAAAGAAAATAGAAATCGGACCATTAATAACAAAATGGCAGCTAAAAATGATTAAGCCAATGGTTATTAAAAGTAATGTTGAACGACAGAGTCTGCTTCCTGCCATGTCCACGGCAGTGCGTGTAATTGATAGGCCTATCATTTTCGTTTTTATGTTTTGTAAAATGTGTGTTTTATTTATTTATTCTGACGAACATCAAGTGGATCCTTTTGTTTGCCTGACGATGGCGGAGATCAGTAAATAACCGCCGAAACATATGTAGCAATTTCGACACTACATGTTAAGGATTGTCTGACGAGGTATGTTTTAACCATTATATGTCATATTACGCAATCCTGGGGCTATGAAAATGAATTTAAATTGTTATGTTTCATCAAGACCAGTAAATTGATATCAAACTCGACTATACTTGCAAATTGAAAATTTTGAGCTACCCCCACCCCTGCTAGGTACCCCTAAGGGTAAATTTTCAAAACTGACCATAATTATTGTAGCTTTTCATACCTAAGAAGGTTACTGCAAACATATTTCAAATATCTCAAATGGTTGAAAAGTTAAGGAGTAAGTTACTTTTGAGTCACCCTGTATAAATTATCTATGGAATATATTTTTCATAGTTCCGTTAAATATGCTTAACATAATTCTAGGATATCAAAAACCCCTCTGTGACAGCAAACCTGCAGACAATGTAAATTTCTGTTTACCTGGTTGGATTTTGGCTTAGATTTTAATTGTCAGATTTTTTTTTCATATAAAATGCAAAATCTTTTGTTCTGAGGGTCGTAAATGGTAAAACCTTACCTTATAAACTCCCCATAAAATCCCATCATGCTCGGGAACTCATGTGAATAAATGTAGGTTTACAAATTGGTACCATATTTCATCAAAAATTATAATTTTAATCAAAATTATCGTGCAAATGGACACATTAAATGTGTATATGTTTTTGGCATCTGGAGACATCAAAAAGAAAAAGTAAATCAGTTCCGGGTCTTGGTCTTACCATAAGACTTGGGGTAAAAGGTTATTCTAAATATGTTTAATTCGCTAATATTTCCTAAATGGGAAATTCTGTATACAAAAATAGTTACTAAAATATTGTAATGCCAAACAATCCTAATTCTCAAAAACAAAACTTCTTTTGTTTCCTACATTGTTTCTTTGTATCATTTAGCTCTGGAAACGGGCTGGAAATTTGGCCTTGAGCTGTTACAAATGTTTGGAAATGAGAAAATATTATTTTTATACATAGAAATAGAAACCGTTAAGATACAAACAATTAGAATACAACAAAATAATTCCTAAGACATATCAAAGAATGTTCAATGCTTTTTGCAGGCAGAAACAACTTTTTAAATGGTAACCTACCATCAGGAGTGTTCAACACTTTAGCGGACCAACAGCAATCACAGGATAAAGTGGATATGCTGGATATACCAGGGAAGGGCCGGTGCTATGTATATATTGCTAGGTATGTATGAACAACTTTGGCTAAGAAAGGAAATTATTTTACAAGTAATTATGAACACAGTTAGGTACTATTTCATTTGATCTTTTATCCTATTTGATTTGTGCCAATGCCAGTAGTATTTTAATGAAAGTATCACAAACGCTTATTATTATTATGGAAAGTGGTTCAAACTCCTAAAAGTTTTGTTGATATGACGGCAATTGAAGCCATCCCTCTCATACTGAAGTTCAAGACGCATCATTTATGACAAATAATCACCACAACATACCTTGTCAGACAATCCTTAATAAACAGAGTGTGACATATATTTTTTGTATGAGTCAAAATAAACTAATGTAGTCAAAAAATGTTTGCCATTGTTCGGCTCGCCATAAAATGTGTACCTTTTAATTAATTGGGAATAGAATAGGGTGTCATCGTGTTGCTCTACAGTTACCAGTGTTGGATGGTATCGTTTTGTGATTTTAATATCGGCTATTATCAGATAAAATTGCGTCGGAGATCGTGTAGTGTACGTTTGGTGGCTGAAGAGCGACTGACTGGTCAGGGTGCTTCTCGACAGCACTCTCTTACCGACCCTAGCATCAGGGTTGAGAACTACGGTTATTCCACAATGACATCCAGCGTTAGCTGCGGCCTTTGTGTGAACCAAATGAATGTATTTGGGATGATCGTAAAACATTACCGCCCATTAAAATTTGTCCCTTTACAAGAGTTTTGTAAGAACTTGCTACATATGTATATATGTAGTATCTATACATTAATTAGGTAAGGCGATTCTTTGCGTCAAAACTGTAGGCGACTGGGAAGTCGTAGGACGACAGGAGAGGACTCGAATTAAAGGTCTCGATCCATTGACGTCAGGAAAAATAGTGAAATTCCCAAAATAGATATAATACAATTTTCTCCATATAGTCGGAGAAATATAGGATATGACCTTAAAAAAATTGCAAGAAAACGTTTTATGGTTTTATTTTGTAGAGTTGGGTTTGCAGAATGACATACTAAAAGTTGCCAAAAATCGGTGCACGAGAAAACCACTAAAATCACAATTTAAAATGGCGGATTTTTCCAACATTGGACAAATTAAAAAAACATATTTCACATGCATTTGTTTTGCACATTTTTCGAGATATTGACTTGGGACCACCATTTGTATTTATTGGGTGGTTAGGACTTCATTTTGATAGGGAACGCGTTTTTGGCCGCCATCTTGGATCCGCCATATTGGACATAGATAATTTTTTTTCAATGTAACGATAGTGTTGTGACACATCATTACCAACTACATTTTTACACTGATTTCAATGCCGAAATCCGTTTTTAAATATCTTTATTAATTTAGAAGATATATTCAAACGAAAACTCTCCACCGTACATTTATTATGAACGTTTCGTAGTTTGATAATTAAAAAAAATTTCTTATGTCTACAGTTCTTATTAACGCTTGTAGTTCGTTCTAGGCTTAAAATATTCAGTAATGTAAGGGCTTTCATTTGAGCTCTTGATCATTAAAATCAGACGAGTTAAAAACCAGCTACGAAGAACCTCAGAACAATATTAAATTTAACTTTTTAGAAATATATTTTTATTAAAAGATTCATAACTCGGGTTGTTAATGTGTCACCAAGTTCTTTCTGGTCTCAAGTTACTCAGTAAATCTTTGGCTTTAATTTTATTAATCATTAAACAAAATCTGACAATTTTGAAATGAGTCGTGGATCTTAATTTAACATTAAAATGTATTAATTTTTAAATTCGTCTTTAGTTAAGGACGTATATCCCCAATTCTAAATAACCCCCAAAACTCTTTATAGTCTTAAATAATTCGTAACATTATTGACTTTTATTTTGGCTATGGATTATTTATTGGGAGTTATTAGGGTTTGGGATATATGTCCTTAACTGAAGACAAATTTCTTAAAAGAAATAATTTACTGTTAAATGAAGATTCATGACTCATTTTAAATAATTCAGATTTTATTTAGTGATTAATAAATTCAAAGCCAAACATGTACTGAATAATTTGAGACCAGAAAGAACTTGCTGACGTATTAACAACCCGAGTTATAAATCTTTTAATAAAAATATATTTCTAGAAAAGTTAAATTTAATATTGTTCTGAGGTTTGTAGCTGGTCTTTAACTCGTCTGATTTTAATGATCAAGAGCTCAAATGAAAGCCCTTACATTACTGAATATTTTAAGCCTAGAACGAACTACAAGCGTTAATAAGAACTGGAGATATAAGAAAAATAATTATAAAAAAAATATCAAACTACGAAACGTCCATAAGAAATGTATGGTGGAGAGTTTTCGTTTGAATATATCTTCTATAGGAAAAAAGATATTTAAAAACGGATTTCGGCATTGAAATCAGTGTAAAAATGTAGTTGGTACTGATGTGTCACAACACTATCTTTATATTGAAAAAAATTATCTATGTCCAATATGGCGGATCCAAGATGTCGGCCAAAAACGTGTTCCCTATCAAAATGAAGTACTAACCACCCAAAAAATACAGGTGGTGGTCCCAAGTCAATATCTCGAAAAATTTGCATAACAAATGCATGTGAAATATGTTTTTTTTTTATTTGTCCAATGTTGGAAAAAGCCGCCATTTTAAATTGTGATTTTAGTGGTTTTCTCGTGCACAGATTTTTGGCAACTTTTAGTATGTCATTCTGCAAACCCAACACTACAAAATAAAACCATAAAACGTTTTCTTGCAATTTTTTTAACGATCCCTGTGTAAGTTTTTTTTAGTTTGCTTGGACTAATAAGAAAAGCATGATAAGCCATTTACTGCTGATTTTTGTTTACTTCAATACAGCTGATTGTGATTTATCACTAAGCCTGTGCGCAATATTGACATTTGGATGACTTATTTGCCAGTCAATTTTGCAATCTACTGTATACTATATAAAACCAGGGATAACGTTACCTATAATTTTTAAGACTTGTTAGTTACTTCTTAGAATGTTGAAATAAATTATTTTACTGTGAAACCTTTCAAATTTGTATATTTTTAAGCGTATGATAAGTAGTAGAATCATGGGAGTAGGCTCAAATCAAAAGAATTTGACTTAGAATGGGTGAATAAACTATAAAGATTTTTCTTCTAATTTAAAGGTTATTGTTATGTTGAAGGAATGTTTAACATGAAATAACCACATTGACTAAATAATTAACGATTCAACCTTAAATGGAGAACTGCTTTGTTTCAAAACATACGCTCAAGATTTATTATAACTTTCTTTGTAAATTTTATATCATTTTTAATTTGTGATTTATTATAGTGTTTGTTTAATCAAATTTTTTTTTAAGTGAAATAACCTCAATGGCTACTCTTAGAAAATAACCTGGGAATAAAGATGAAATAGGTTCATACAATAATTGATGATTAAGCCTATTTTGATAGAATATGTAAAGTCAATCGCACCTTATGAGGAATACCACCACATAAACTTACACTAATTGTAGTTTTTTTTTATGCTTATCAGAAACAAATCTAGGGTTAGGTTTGGTGCCTTTACTTACACTAATTTTGTTAAACCTTTAAAAGGAGTATAAACTTAGAAATAATAACTGGGTCAGGATGCTTTAGCGGTTTTGACCAAGAACTAAGCTTATCTCAACACACCTTTATTTGCCTTTTCATATTTGACGAAGACAATTTCCAAAATTCCAATCAGGGAAGCCTTTTTTATCATAATTAACCACAAGACCAAACACCACAGCTACCTTAGTAAACCAGTATTTATTCACAAACAGTTATATGTTTGCTGCCTTTAACAGAGTTAAACCTCTGGAGTGATTCAAATTATTTATAAAAAATAACATCAACAAAAGCAAACAAAGACAAACAAAAAACTTTTTTACACAAAAGATATGGTGTACATGGATATCTATTCTGACACATAGGCCTAGATAAAATAATTCTGAGTTTGTTTAAATATTACAATAATTTGTTTTACATTTGAGCTTTTTAGGGACTTATGTCCCTACAAGCAACTAGTATATGTAGTATATATGTAGGTGTATGCAGTATATATGTAGTATTAATGTATGTGTGTAGGGGAAGGAAGAAGAACTAGGTAAGGATAAAATCGTTTTCTGACCAGCTTCTTCAGCTTTTTTACACATTACTTGATTGATTTCATTTCTTTGACATTTTAAGTACCATTGTAAATTTTCAATTAATAAGTGGAAAGAAAGATTTTTAACAAATAATTCACCCAGGAAAAACTTTTCAATTAGTGAAGAAAGAAATTCTCAATACATGACTACTCAAGTGGCTGGTTAACCTTCCGTCGGGCGCATTGATTTTCAAACACCAAAGGGCGCTCACGGAAGTTACCTCCGGGAATACAAACATTATACAATGATGAGTAAAAAACATTTTAATAGCAATAAAACTGTAAAAAAAACATTTTTTATGAGTTATTACACTATTACTTAAGTAGTATATCAAATAGCAAATGTTATAAAAACAAAAAAAAATAAAAATACGTAAGTGTTGTGGATAAAAAAGATTTACTTTTTGTACTTATACAGTACTATCGTATATTAGAAAACAAATTTGAATATTGTATGACATAAAACACGTACACGGTCTAATAAAAATAATAATTTTGTACAAGGACAACTCATTCAATCAAAGCTCTTAGACAAAAATTGCATCAGTGTATGACATAAAAACACCTATGGTATTATGAAAAAAGATAATTATTTCATAAGGACAACTTACTTAGTCAAAGCTCTTTAGAAAAAATTGCAATGGTGTTTGAAAAAAAACAACCTATTGTCTAATGCTAAAAGTCATTTGTTACAAAGACCACACATTTTGTCAAAGCTCTTTTTCTTGAAAAAAAAGCTTACCGAACTCACGCACCATTAGTTCTTTCTTCTAAATGTTGTTCCTTGTCCTCCCTTTCAACACTAGCCAACAATCTCGCAATTAGTTCTTCTTCATCCATTTTATAATATCACTAAATACGG